GCAATGATCACAAAGTCAACTTTGAATAGGAGCATTTGGAAAACTTTGCCACCAGTAAGATTTTCCGTGGACATTGAGCCATGGGAGTTACAAGACCTATGAGATACAATCCCTGTTCTTGAGGGACTTAATATCCAAATTAGGAAAGGTAAAACTTATACATAAGAAATCATTAGAGAACAACACAAAACATTTTATAGTGTCATGCTTAATTGTATTGAGCAAATGATCAATGTTGACTTCAGAATTGCCTTAATATAACATATTTCTCATGCTTTTTTTTTTTAAAGCACATGATGTAGAATCAGTTAAGATAATATATGGCGGGAGGGGAGATGGAGCCAAGATGGTGGAGTAGAAGCAGTGACTTGCTTGAGCCCTCCCCCAAACCCGTCCAAATACCTGTAAAAAATGACTCTAGACAAATTCTAGAGCAGCAGAACCCACAAAAAGACAGAGTGAAACAGATTTGCAGCCCAAGACAACCTGGATGATTGATAGGAAAGGTCTGTTGCCCTGAGCTAGGAGGGGAGCACAGTTTAGCATGGTCCCCATAGGCAAAGACTAGGCCCCAGCAAACCCAGAGCAGGCCTCAGAAGACTGCATCACTGGCAGCTGTGGTGGTTTCCAGACTTCTCAACCCAAAAACAACTTAGATGGTCAGTGGGAAAGGTTTGTTGGACGTGGGTGAGAGAGGAGTGTGGTCCAGCCTTACCCTGAGGGCAACCCCAGGGCGGAGGCCCAGTGGCAGAACCTGCTTCTGGAGCCATTGGCATACTGGGGGGATTGAGCAGCTGATCAGAGGTTTTTGGCTCTGAGACAGAATTCGCTTGCTTTGCCTGTGCTTGGATCTGCGTTGCAGTCCTGGGGAGCAGTCCAGAGGCAAGGAGTGCTGACAAAGTGGAGCTTATGGTGGTGGTGGAGAGGGAATTCTCCTCACAGTTCCAAGGCAGAAAAGAATGCTTGGGGTCACTCATAGACCAGAGCCCAGGCCAGGAAAGGAGTAAACACCTCTCCTTTCATCATACTACCTTGGAAGAACTGAAAATTTACAGGTCGCTAGAAGTATCTCTGAAAACAGCTGCACAAAACTCTGAAGCTGGGAACACTACGTTCTCCACACTGGAAGCAGACTCCTACCTTAACAAAGAGTTTATAACTGAAGTAATTGACTGGGAACATGAGCAAAATGCAGAAAAAACTCAGACTATAGAATCTTTCTTTGGTGACAAAGAAGATCAAAACATACAACCAGAAGAAGACAACACAGTCAAAACTCTTACATCCAAAGCCTCCAAGAAAAGTATGAATTGCCTTCAGGCCATGGAAGAGCTCAGAAAGGATTTTGAAAAGCAAGTAAAAGAAGTAGAGGAAAAATTGGGAAGAGAAATGAGAGTGATTCAATAAATCATGAAAAACAAGTCAACAGCTTGCTAAAGGAGACCCAAAAAAATGTGAAGAAAATAACAACTTAAAAATAGACTAACCCAGGGGCATCTTGGTGGTGCAGTGGTTAGAGCTCTAGCCTTGGAGTCAAGAGGGCCTGAGTTCAAAGCTGACCTCAGACCTGACACTTACTAGCTGTGTGCCCCTGGCCAAGTCACTTAACCGTTATTGCCTCATCAAAAAGAAAAAACAAAAAAGACTAACCCAAATGGCAAAAAAGGTCCAAAAAGGCAATGAGGAGAAGAATGGTTTAAAAAGCAGAATTAGCCAAATGGAAAAGGAGGTGCAAAAGCCTACTGAAGAAAATAAGAATGGAGCAAATGGAAGCTAATGACTCTATGAGAAATCAAGAAATTATAAAACAAAACCAAAAGAATGAAAAAAAGAGAAGACCATATGAAATATCTCATTAGAAGAACAACTGACTTGGAAAATAGATCCAGAAGAGACAATTATTGGACTATCTGAAAACCATGATTAAAAAAAAAAAGGGCCCAAACATTTTTCAAGAAATTATCAAGGAAAACTGCCCTGATATTCTAGAACCAGAGGGTAAAATAAAAATTGAAAGAATCCGCTGATATCCTCCTGAAAGAGATCCCAAAAGTAAAACTCTTAAGAATATCATAGCCAAATTTCAGTAGTCAAGGAGAAAATATTGCAAGTGGCCAGAAAGAAGCATGAGTATTGTGGAAACACAGTCAGGATAACACAAGATTTAGCAGCTTCTACATTAAGGGATTGGAGGGCTTGGAATATGATGCTTTCAGTGAACCTATAGAAGATGAATTTACATTCCAATATTTTCTTTCAATTACAAAAAACAGTCATTTTATCCACCAGCAATACACAATGACATTAAATGTAAAAGAATAAAAGCAAGAGGAGGGAGAGGAAGAGGTTTTTTTTTCTGCTTGGAAAAAAATTATTAAAAAACCTTTTGAAAAATTAAAAGATGAGAATAAGATGAGTAACAATAAAACTAACATTTATTTCATGTTTTAAAATTTGCAAATTTCATTATCATTAAAATTTAAAAACAACCAACCCAGTGAGGTAGTTGCTATCGCTATAATTTGTCTTGTTTTACATTTTTGAGGCTCAGAGTTTGTTAACTTGCTTATGATTATGTAGTAAGTGTCAAAGGTAGAATTTGAGCCCACAGCTTCATAACATTGAGTCTGGCATTCTGACTGCTATATCAGTAATCATTCAACTAATATTTAGTGGGTGCCTACTATGAGCTAAGCACTACTAGTATTCTCAGTGCCCCATTCTTGATTTTCCAGGCACTGTCTTATCTGTAGAATATTCATTGTAGAATACGTGTGTGTTTGTGAATACATTGTGTATGTGTATTCATTGTAGAGTATTCATTACTATTCCCTTTGTTGCTGCCTGCTTTTGGCAATTTCAGTGGTAGTTAACATCCGTTACCAAAGGAAAGGAAAGGAGAAGAAATGAAAATCAAGATAATAGGTTATTTTTAAACTGTTCAGTAGGAAGTGAGCCTAAGGTGACTTGCCTAGTCTCAAAAATGATGCCATAGTCATATGAAAAAAATCATTATTGATTAGAGAAATGAAAATTAAAAGAACTTTGACATATCATTTTACACCTATCAGAATGGCTAAAATGATTGAAGGAGAAAGTGACAAATGTTGGAGGGGATGTGGAAAAATTGTCACATTAATTCATTGTTGGTGGAATTGTGAACTGATCCAACAATTTTGGAGAACAGTCTGGAATTATGTCCCAGAAGTTACTAAACTGCATATACTTTTGATCCAATAAAGAACTTATGTTTTGTAAAATATTTATATTAGTTCTCTTTGTGGTGGCAAAGAACTGGAAATTGCAGGGATGTCCATCAGTTGGGGAATAGCTGAACAAGTTGTGGTATATGATTGTGATGGAATTAATGCTGTAAGTTACGATGAGCTCGATGGTTTTACGTGGATAAACTTGCACAAAATAATGAAGAGCAGAATGAGCAGAACCAAGAGAATGTTGTATACAGTAATGGCAATACTTTCTTAAGAACAACTTTGAGCAACTAAGTCATTTTGACTATTTATAAATATTCAAATTAACTACAAAAGACCTATGAAGGAAGATGCTCTCTGCATCCAGAAAAAGAATTGGTAAACAGAAAAGTATGTATAGAATGATTTTATATACACACACACATATGTATGTATACACACACATATTTGTGTCTAATGGCAGCCATCTCTAGGGTAGGGGGAGAGGGAAGGAAAAAAGGGAAAAGATTAGATGATGATTTATCATTTTTAAAAGGAATAGCAAGTTATACATGGTGGATTTGTAGTTTCATGTGCAGTCATCTTTTTAAAAAATTTTACTGTTATGGAAATGCTGATTTTATTTCAGAAATTAAAAATAAAATATATTTTTTTAAATTGATGCCATCTTCTTGTATCTGATGCTACAGCAAAGCATTTGAAGATGTAGGTACTCTCTCTGACTGATAGCTGTGGTTCTAGTTGGTCACATATGGGTGATAGCCATAACACATGATGTTGACAGCTTTTCATTTTCTCCTCATTTTGTTACCTACTCTCATCTCAGCATTTGTTTCCAGTTGAGGTGGCAGAAATCTTACCACATTGTCTCAGTGTTTTCATTCTATCTGTACTTAATTTAAAAACAATTGCAGGTATTTGTGCATGGGGTTCAGGGGAGACTTTACCATTATAGAATGCTACGCTTGTTCCATCTCTTTCAGCCAGCCCTACTTTTCTAGTTATAGTGCCTCTCTCTCATTCGACTGTTGCTCCAATATTCCTCTTAAGGCAGTGACAGCAGCTATCTGGGCTTCTTTAGAGACTCAAGATATTCCTTGAGCAATTGTTTCTGTAGAATGGTTGGTTATGCTTCTGCTCCTTGATGTCATATTCCTTCTGTTACAAACCATAACTCCTTATAGTCAATGTCCTGATAGTTCTACCAATGTAGAAAAAGAAAAATGTGGCCTTGAGTCCCTGATTCTGTGTTTTGAGGTAGCCAAGTTTGAATTAAGATAATTAAGCAAAACTTCTGCATGATTGCAGGCCAATCACTCAACTTTTTGTGACTTAGATTAGAGCTCTAGCCCCTTTACCTCTCTATGAGGATGAATGTGAAAATAAGCATGATAAAATGAGAGGCAAAACATGTTTTGCTTATCTAACTCAAGAGATGAATAACTAAATATGAGGTTTAAAATAGTATTTTGAGCACTCCTTGCTAGAGCCATCTCAAATAGAATTACATTTTTATGGTTTGATTTGAAATTTTGATGTTCCTAAATTGCATCTTTTTTCTTCTCTCTTTTTTATTTTTGGTTATTGTTGTTGTGAGGTGCAGCTTACTTAGTAGGAGGTATCAGAAAAAGGTAATATTTTAAAAATGTGTCGATAAAGTTTTTAAAATAATATTTAAAAATTCCTATGTTCAGGATGGCTCCCTTTTGGTGGTGAATATGTACTTCAGGTTCTTCTGACTGACCCCTGAGATTTTCACATCATGAATCCATCCTCTTTATTTTTTAGGTGTTCCTTTCCCAAGGAATTTTCTTCAGATCTGCAAGAAGATTCTATGTCGTCTTTTCCGGGTATTTGTGCACGTCTACATCCATCATTTTGATCGTGTGATCGTGATGGGTGCGGAAGCCCATGTCAACACCTGCTACAAACACTTCTATTACTTTGTCACAGAGATGAACCTCATAGACCGCAAGGAACTAGAGCCCTTGGTGAGTGGAGCAAGTACTGATTATTTTTATTCACTCATAGAGCTGGAAAAGAGCAAAGAGAGTTTCAAGAACTATAGCTTTAAAATTTAACTATTTCTTATATTTAGAGATTGCTTCTATTCTCAATAAGTGGTAAGGATCTCAGTGCTACTAGAAAGGGCTTGAAAATCAACTGCCCTGTGGTTCTACACCATGAATGCCCTGATCTAAATTCTCTTTTTGACCACCATTCCTTCAACTGGGTGGTACAGTGGATGGAGCACTAGGCCTTGAGTCAGGTAAACATGAGTTCAAATCCAGCTTCAGACAAGTACTAGCTTTGTGATCCTGGGCTAATTACTTAACCTCTTTTTGCCTTACTTTCCTTAATTGTAAAATGGGATAGTAATAGTACCTACCTTGCAGGGTTATTGTGAGGATCAGATGGAATAAAAATTGTAAAGTGCTTAGCACAGTGTCTGGTCCATATTAGGCATTTAGTAAATGCTTGTTTCCCCACATACATTTCCATTATTGTATCTCCCTATTTGAATTTGAATATTCCTCTGATGGTGGGACTATCCCACTTTTGTATCTGTATTTGTATTTTGGATCAGGAATCTAGTGCACTACTATCTCTACTTTGCACCAGGCCTGACACATAGTAGGTCCTCCTTAAAATGTTTATCGATTGACTGATTGATTAAGCAATCTTCAGGAAAGGAAAAGCCCACATCCATCTGTTCTAGTTTCTCATAGTCAGGACCTTCTTCTTCTTGTCTAGATTGGCTCCATTTATAGAATCATTATTATGCCTTTGGGAAAAGGATACAGTATGGTCTAGTGAAAAGAGCACATTTAAGTCAAAGAACTTGGTTTTAAATCCCTTATTACCTTTGTAACTTTGGCTAAGTCACTAGACCCTGGCCTCACTTTCTTCATCTGCAAAATGAGGAAGACCAGATCTGTGGTCCTATGAGTCATGAACCAACTTTGGGACCACACTAAAATCCAATTGGTGCCTCATTGTGGTATCAGGTACCACTGGAGTCGTTTGCCATTTCCTTCTCCAGCTCATTTTACAGATGATGAAACCCTGTAAACAGGGTTAAGTGACTTGCCCAGCATTACATAGCTAGTAAGTTTTGAACTTAAGAAGATGAATCTTCCTGACTCCAGGCCTGGAGCTCTATCCAGTGTACCACCTAGTTGCCCCTTCAAGGTCATACCAACTGAGAATGAACAAACCCAAACAAACTAGAAAGGCTTTGAGGATAGGTCCTGATTGGACTGTCATCAGAGTATTAGCCTAACTGAGTTTAATAGGCTCATCAACTATGTGACTTTTGGGGAGACATGTCACCCAATCTGTAAAATGAGGGGTTTGGATTAGATCAGTAGTTCTTACCTTGGGGTCAATGAACTTGGTTTTAAAAATATTTTGGTAACAATATTTTCATATAATTTGTTTCCTTTGTAATTCTATGCATTTTGTTTCATGCATTTAAAAACATCATTCTGAAAAAGGGTCCCCACTCCTGACATTATGTATTCACTAGGTGATCCGGTAAAGAGATGGTAAATGTTGGCTAGATGAGCAACTAAGAGCTAGGTTGTCTATAATTATGCTAATTAAAATCACTAAGGAGCTGTAGATTCATTGTACAATGGTATTGACTTTAAAATGTAATATTTCTGGAAAACTGTCATATGATCAGTAGATTTCCATCCCCCAAATTAATAAGTATGATATATTTGACTAGTAACCCCTTTTTTGCTGTGCTTCTTGTTGTTATTTAGTCAATTAGTTGTTTCCAACTCTTTGTGACTTCATTTGAGGTTTTCTTGGCAAAGATACTGGAGTGGTTTGTCATTTCCTTCTCCAGGTCATATTACAGATGAGGAAATTGAGGCAAACAAGGTTAAGCTACTTGCCCAGGGTCGTACAATTAGGAAGTATCAAAGCCCAAATTGGAACTCAGGTCTTCCAGACTTCAGACCTAGTACTCTTATCTACTGCGCCACCTAGCTGCCCCTTTTTGCTGTGCATTTGTTTTAAAATCAGCTATATCAAATTAAATATATTTTTACTGATTCACCATAATAAACAAAGAAGGTATCACATGGGATAGAATTAAGTATGAAGCATAATCCTTGCTTTCATGGATCTTACAGTCTACTAACAAGATATTTTCTTAGTACTCAGATATCCTCTTTCACTCTTGATCTAGGACAGAGATGTCAGACAGATGGCCTGGGGGCAGCATGTGGCCCACAACACTTCTAGGTGCTACCTGACCCAGGTTAAAATGTCATTGGGAAATATTTAACAAAATAAATAAAAATACAATAAAATACAGATAATGCTGTATTTTAAAGTGGTCAATATGCAGCCCCCAGGGATCCTTATATATGGCTCAGCAGGCCCTGTTTCTATTTGAATTTGATACCACTAATCTAGGATTAAGTAATCAGATGACTGATTACAGTGGATTTAGAGCCAAGCTACCTAGATACAAATCCTGGCTCTGCTGTTTGCTATCAGTGTGACCATGAACGAATCACTTAATCTCTCTGGGCCTCAGTTTCCTCAGCTGTAAAATAAAGTGGTTGGAAAGTAACCTTGAAGATCCCTTCCAGCTCTCAGTCTATGATCCTATAATTATTAACAGTGTTATCTTTTGGATTCTTATTCCTGAATTGTCTCATCAGAAGTTAACTGTGCTAGTTAGTTCTATTGTTGAAGTTTCCCCATAGAATTACTCACCTGTCCTCCTAGTACAGGTAGACAAATGGAAACATGCAAGAGAATTTTTTGTTCTTTTAGGGAACACATAAGACACAACTTGAACATTGGGAAGAGAGGGATTAGACACCCAACAACTGTTAGAAAGAAAAAAAAGTCATTTAGTGGGAGGGTACCTTTAACCACAGGCAATCAATCAACAAACATTTTTGGAGTGTGTACCGTATATGTACCAGGCCCCATACTAGACAATGAGGAAATAAAGAACAAAGTAAAACATTTCCTGCTTATATATTCAATTCAAGGGGCATAAATATATAAGTATTTACAAGGTAATGGGTGAGGGGACAGAACGTGGAGCTAGGGAGATCAGGAAAGGCCTTATGTAGAAAGTAGTGCTTGAACTGAGTCTTCAAGAAAACTAGCTATTCTAAAATATTGTAGTATAAAGAGAGTATATATATTCCAGGAATGGCAGAGAGCCAATGCAAAGGTATGGTGATGGAAATGGAGTGCTCTTTATAAGTAACAGTAACAAGACCAGTTTGACTGAACCATAGGATACATGAAGAGGAGTAAAGTTTAATGAGTTAATTTTGTAGATTTTGTTAATTTTGTTTAATAAGTTAATTTTGGTAGTCCCAAAGGTCTTTGGTCCCAAAGGTAGTCCCAGAGGAGTTTATATTTGATCCTAGAGGTAAGAAGGAGCCACTGAAGTTTATTGAATACAAGAGTGATGTGTCTTCTAGTGCTATCACACTGGTAGTTATGTGGATTACAGATTGGAGTGGGGAGAGACCTGAGGCAAGTAAGTCCACAAGGAAGCAGTTATGTTAATCTAGGCCAGAGGAGATGAGATCCTGATATGAGAAATGTTGCAGAATTAGAAAAAAACAAGAATTTGCAACTTACTAGATATGTGGTATGAGAATGAGTATTATGAGAATGAGTTTGACTGGATGGTGGAACCTTTGAAAGAAAAAAGAAATATGAAAGAGGAGTAAGTTTGGGGAGAAAGATCATGAGTTCTGTTTTGGAAATGATGAGCTTGAAATACCTACAGAATGTCCATTTGGAAATATCTAGTAGGCAGTTGGAGATGCTGGGCTTCTGGTATGAAGAGAGACTGGAGCTCTCTGTGTAGACCTGGGGAACATCGAGTATACAAATAGTAATTAAATCCAAAGAAGACCAAGAGTGCTCATTCATGAGAGCTTATGGGACCAAGAAGTCCACATTCAAGAGAATGTAGAGAGAAAAGAAAAGGGGGCCCAGGACAAGAGAAATATTGACTGGATTAGACTCTGTCTCTAGGATGCCAGTCTCTGATAAGTAAGCTTTCACCTTATCTTGTCCAGAAACAGGCCTCCATGTCACTTGCTGGACATTTCCACACCATGCTGCTATGAATACACTGTCTTTACTCTTCCCAATCCCTTACTTTCTTAGGATATAAACTCCTTGAGGTCAAGGGTTGTCTTGCTTGCTTATATTTATTATCCCCAATGTTTAATATGTGTCTGGAACATAGTAACCTTTAATAGATGCCTTATCAATTATTATCACTCAGTATTAGAACTGTCTAAAAGTAGAATCACTTCTCCTAGGCTACATTGTGTTCTGCCTCTTTGAAGGTTTTCAAGTAAAGTCTGGATGATCACTTTGGGAGCATATTATAATGGGGATTGTTTTCAGGTAGAGGTTGGACTGTATGTTAACTGAAGTCCCTTTTCAATTGAATAGACAACTTCAATTGAAAAACTAGAGGAGGGTTCCTGGAAGGTATAATGTTTGAGTTGGGCTTTTAAAGCAGAAATTCAACAGATGAAAAGGGGGACGGAAGGTATTCCAGGCATAACAAACACATATGAGCAAAAGTGTGTACATGTTTGATGGGCAGAAAATAGTCTCATTTTATTTGTGCTTTGAAGAGGGAAGAAGAATATGAAATAAGGTTGAAATGGCAAGATGTTACAAGATTCCGGAGGTCCTTGAATGCCAGGCCACGGGGTTTGAACTTTACTAGGAAGGCCTTCGGTGGCCACCTATGATTTCTGAGCAGAAGAATAGCATGACATGAACATATTTTGCGTGAGAAACATTATTCTGGTAGACATTTGAATGATGGTTGACAGACGGGTGGAGAAGGAATTAGGGGCAGGAAGACTTATAGAAAAGGCTATTGTAATGTTTTGTATAGGCTATTGTGTTTCAGAATCTGAGGTAAGATGGTGAAAATTAAGGAGGAAGGAGATGAAAGTGATAGATAATTGTG